ACATGCATGGGTGGGAGGAAAGGGGTGGGGTGGAAGGAAAGGGGTGTGGGGGAAGGAAAGGGGTGGGGTGGGAAGGAAAGGGGTGGTGGGAAAGAAAAAAAAGGTGATGGGAAGGAAAGGGGTGGGTGGGAAGGAAAGGGGTGGGGTGGGAAGGGAAAGGTGGGTGGGAAGGAAAGGGGTGGGGGTGGGAAGGAAAGGGGGTGGGGGAAGCCAGAAGGGGTGGGGTGGGAAGGAAAGGGGTAGGGAAGGAAAGGGGTGGGGGTGGGGAAGGAAAGGGTGTGGTGTGAGCGAAAGGTGTGGTGGGAAGGAAAGGGTGTGGGGCAGTGGTGGGAAGGGAAAGGTGGGGAAGGAAAGGGGTGGGGGAAGGAAAGGGGTGGGGAAGAAAGGGGTGGGTGGGAAGGAAAGGTGGGAAGGAAAGGGGTGTGTAGAGACAGAAAGGGGTGGGGTGGGAAGGAAGGGGTGAAAGGGGAAGGAAAGGTGTGGGGAAGGAGGGGGTGGGGTGGGAAGGAAAGGGGTGGGGTGGGAAGGAAAGGGGTGTGGGAAGGAAAGGGGTGGGGTGGGAAGGAAAGTGGTGGGGGAAGGAAAGGGGTGGGGGTGGGAAGGAAAGGGTGGGGTGGGAAGAAAAGGGTGGGGAAGGAAAGGGGTGGGGTGGGAAGGAAAGGTGTGGTGGGGAAGGAAAGGGGTGTGTGGGAAGGAAAGGGGTGGGGGTGGGAATAAGTGTGGGGGGAAGGAAAGGTGGGGAAGGAAAGGGTGTGTGGGAAGGTGCGGGGGAAGGAAAGGTGGGAAGGAAAGGGGTGTGGTGGGAAGGAAAGGGGGTGGGGTGGGAAGGAAAGGGGTGGGGTGGGAAGGAAAGGGTGTGGGGAAGGAGCAAGGTGGGGGTGGGGAAGGAAAGGGGTGGGGGTGGGGAAGGAAAGGTGGGGTGGGAAGGAAAGGGGTGGGGTGGGAAGGAAATGGGTGGAGAGGGAATAGAAGTGGGGGAGGAGGAGAAAGGGTAGGATGGAGAAGAGAGAATAAGAGAGAAAATAAGAGGAAGAAGTGGAAGAACAGTAAGGAGGAGAAGATGAAGACAAAGAAAGAACTCCTGCAACATTCTGCAACAGACAATTAAGGTATGTTGCACGGGTCACTTGCACCCCACTACACTGTCTTAATTAAGATATCAGGTAAATTTTGCTCCCTAATGAGAACCTATCACAGGTACACACTCATTATGAGGTATTTATTTCCTTAGAAATAATTATAATAATAAAGTGACTTGACGTCTTTTTAAAACCCCCTTATTTTGACAAGACAACAATAACAACATTATAAATTGTACTGATTATTTAATTTGTAACAAACTTCCTCCCGGGTCTGCACATATGTTTGGTCGGCCTTAAGGTTCTTTTAGTTTTCAGTAAATTACAAAGTATTTTTACGTGTTAATTAAGCAATAGTGGGTTAGGATTACAGTGGTGGTGGGTTAAAGTGGTTCAGGGTTAAGTTAAGTTAGGTTAGGTTATTCATATCACCCAAATAGATAGTGTAGCGATATTTTTCACGGTGTTTCATTTTTCAATTCTAACTATGATCATCTTACGATATATCGCTGTTATCATAAGTTAACCACAGCACTAAACTCGGCTGCGGTCAAGTGTAGCACAGTGGTAAGATAACTTTGACCATTGCTGTATTTGGCTCTCCTGGCTGTATATTGTTATCCCGATCCAGTAATTATCAAGATTTACAGCTAAATCATTATCTCTCTCTCTCTCTCTCTCTCTCTCCCCCTCTCTCTCTCTCACTCTGCCTGACTCTCATTCTTATTGACTTCCACACACTGAGACGTAATTTATTTGAGGTGATTAAATTTTACGATATGAAGTGTGTAATAATAATAATAATAATAATAATTAACGGGTTATTGAAAGAGCTTGGCAGCCAGAAGGCTGAAAATATACAGTTACATATTTGGGGAATGGGTTACGAATTACAAATAATATACAAGTGACACAAATAAGACATATAATAACTTAGATGGGGGTGTGTGTGTGTGTAAGGGGGGTGATCAACACATGATCCACTAACCAATTACTAGCCATTGACCCACACATCCAGACAGCTGAGCCAATGATCCACTCTCCAGGTCAGGTACAGATTCACCAACGAGACAGCAAAGTCATTAAGATTTAAAGCAAAGTCGTTACTAAGATTTACAGCAAAGTTCACTATCAATATTTACAGCAAAGTCATAATCATTACTTACATTGATCAGAGTTACAAGAATGAAAAGTTATACAATAGAATGTTTATCAAGATTTTCAACAGAGATAAGTGTTTGCTGTTGATGACACACACACACACACACACACACACACACACACTACACACACACACTACACACACACACACACTACACACACACACTACACACACACACACACACACACACACACACACACACACACACACACACACACACACACACACACACACACACACACACACACACACACACACACACTATACACACACACACACACACACACACACACACATACACACACACACACTCTTCATCTCTCACAAATAAACATCGTCTGGGTTTGGAAGTTATGATAGAAGGACATAATTTGCTGCCTGTGTGTTACCTGTGGTTGTCGTGGCCTCTAGCACAACAAAGGGTCTTTGTTGTTCATCACAGACTACTTCCATGCTTGGTGCTCAGACAACTGCTGTTCTTTGCTTACACTCATCTGAAGTATTAACCTAACCTAACGCAAAGCAAACTAAATTAATCTAACCAACATGAAATCATAAGTAGAAACTCATTTAGTGAAGTCATGTGTCGGCCATAAATTCATCTCAGAGTAAATGGGTTTTGGTTCATCCTGTGTTGGAAGACTATCCTTTCAAGTGTGTTTATATCACCTTAACTTTATCTGAGGGAGTTAGATTAGGTTAGGTTAGGCTAGGTTAGGTTAGGTTACACTAAATTAGGTTAGGTTAGTCTAGGCTAGTTAACATTCACATGACCCGGAACCTCTTATAATTGAAATCATTATCAGATGACTCCACCACGGGGCTCGTCGTAGGAGTGTTGCTATATCAGGTACGGTCAGGTCTGCTTCAGGAGAGGTTCTAGGAGTAACGTCTCTGGCCGGATTCTAATTAAACTCTTTGTTGTTTTTTCCTCGAGGCTGTTATACCTGTTTCTGCCGAGTCATTGGGAAAAGAAAACTTGTCTTCATTCTTCTTTTTTGGGGGGTAATATTTCCCACTAACCTAACCTAACCTTAAGTCGTTAAATAACAGAATGAGTCAAATATCTTATGGTTATTACGTGATCTTAGTACGTGAGCTTAGTACGTGATCTTAGTACGTGATCTTAGTACGTGAGCTTAGTACGTGAGCTTATTACGTGAGTTTAGTACGTGAGCTTAGTACGTGAGCTTAGTACGTGATCTTAGTACGTGATCTTAGTACGTGAGCTTAGTACGTGAGCTTAGTACGTGATCTTAGTACGTGATCTTAGTACGTGAGAGACCTCCAGGTAAGAACATACCTGTGGTTACTATTAACATTATCATCTCATTCACCTCACGTCTCCATCGCAATCCTATAAAAGATAATGACGTCATTCTAAGATTAACACCAGCAAGCGTTTAGTAGTTTTACTTTATGAATAATTCCCGTAAATTAATACTTACTTAAACAAAGGAGTTGTATAATTCTAATCATTTTAAATTATCATCCTTATTTTTTATACATCATTCTAGTTCCTGGAGTATGATCCCATGAAAGTCGACTTCTACTCAGAATCACTATGTATACTTTTACAATACGTGTCATATACATACACCTTTACATAGTATATACACAAGGTGAAGTAAAGTCATTGTATACATGAACTGTGGTAATTGGATTAATGTGATAAAATATAATAAAATAAGACTATTTAAACTTAATTATCACATCTAAGCGACAGTAGAAGTGGCTTTATCTAAACACCTTCACCTGTTAATTAAGAGTACCTGTACTGTCCCTTCGCTAAATAATATAAAGATAATAACACTGACCTAATATGACCCAGTACTGTCATATGAAGACTTACTGAACTAAAACTAGACAGTCATTAGAGTTGACGTTAAAAATGACTGATAATGAAGTGTTGTCAACCCTCCATAAAAAAAATCTCTTCCTTCATTTTTTTTTACCGTCTCAGCTGACAATAGCCCCGTGCTCACAATTCATCTCAACTGACGTGATATTTGTCTCCTCTGCGCCACCTGAGATGTTATACTTCAGGCGTCTTCCACGTGTCTCTCCTAATAGATAACTTGTACGACCAGGTGTTCGTTTCTTTGCTAGACACTTGTATCCATTGTAGACTAAACAATTTGTATTTTTTTGGGGGGTGGGGAGGAGGGTGAGGGGGGGTGGGTGGGGGGGTAATACTGTTCTAAGCCTGTATTTAAATTACAGTTGTATCTATAACCCACACTTGTATTTAACCCTCACCTGTATTTAACTTACACCTGTATTTAACTTACACCTGTATTTAACTTACACCTGTATTTAACTCACACCTGTATTTAGCCCACACCTGTATCTAACCTGCGCCTACATCTAACCCACACTTGTAGCTACCCCACACCTGTCTCAAGCCCACACCTGTACTTAACCCACACCTGTATTTATAACCAGTTCTTACACACACTGGTTAAAAACACTTCCATTAACTAGAATGATTTACGTCAAAGATTACGGCGTTAATCACCTCTGGAATATATCAAGATTTTTTCGTAATATAACTTTATAGTTTTATGGTTTATTCCTGCAACAGTCGAGTCATGTACTGAGTGTTTGTGTTTACTTAAGAGACAGGTATTGTATGTGTGATGGCTCAGACGACAGCCAAGTCTAACCTAACCTAATATAATATAACCTAACCTAACCTAACCTAACCTAACCTCCTCCTCCTCCTCCTACACTCACCTCTTCCTCCTCCTCTTCGGCAGGTCGGGTAGTGACCATCTCCAGCGGACTAGCGAGGATGGCCGTCCCTATGAGATCAGCTTATGTGCTCAGCAAGTACGCAGTGGAGGGCTTCTGTGACGTCCTCAGGTAAGTGTGTGTGTGTGTGTGTGTGTGTGTGTGTGTGTGTCCCAGATGACATACTACATCGGCTACTTTTTAAACTTGTAAATCTTAAATCATTGAAGCGTTGATCAAAACGGAAAATGATAAACAAACACAAATAAACTTACAGGTAACGTCAGGTAAACAAACAATACACTAATTAACCCTACAAAGGTAATTCACAGGTGTAAATATTTTCTTCTTGGTATTGTGGTCCTACGCCCCCCCTCCCCCCAAAAAAATAATTATTATTTAGAAGGAAATTTAAAATACGCTTAGTCATTACATAAACTACCCACACCGTCTCTCTCATCACACATTCATATACAAACCTGAAGTCGAAGCTGTGTTAAAATTAATTATACCTCAGTCCTGTAATATATTTCGTCTAGTGTAATATATTTCGTCTAATTAGTCTAATATATTTCGTCTAATTAATCTAATATATTTCGTCTAATTAATCTAATATATCTCGTCTAATTCGTCTATATCAACAAACACATAATAACCCTCCAGGTGTTTAATGAGTGACCTGGCGTATCTCTGTACACTAATTCACCTGGTGGTAATGTGGGGTCAAGTGGCTGTGTGTTGTGGTGCAGGTGAGGAGAACAGTATCCCATAACAGGTGTTCAAACCTACAGGTGTTCAAATCTACAGGTGTTCAAATCTACAGGTGTTCAAATCCACAGGTACGAGATGAGGTCGTGGGGAGTGAAGGTGTCCATCATAGAACCTGGGAACTACATCGCAGGTGAGGGGAGACACACACCTGGTTGTCATTAGCACGTACTGTAGGTTAGTATACACGCAGGTAAAGGTGATATGTGAGCGTTGTGTAGGATGGATGGATGGATGGATGGACACACACACACACACACACACACACACACACACACACACACACACACACACACACACACACACACACACACACACACACACAATCTAAACTAAATATAATAAAATAAACTAACTACTACGAAAAAGGTTACAAGACCATCACGTCAAGTAATAAAATGCAAATTAATGATAAACTATTTGACTGCGGTTACCATGACGACAAGAGACAGGAGTGATTATGGAAGAATGTTTGTTACGCTTATGATCATATTATCTCTGAGGTGGCTGCTGTGCTGTTGATGTTTTAGTGTTTGCTTCACCGGTCAAGGTCGTGTGTGTGTGTGAAGAGTATGGCAACACAGAAGAAGGCAGAGCATTCCATTGTTTAGTTGTGTGAGGAAAGAAGAAACAAATAAACTATCCCACGATATTTACAAATAAGGTTTCTAAGACCCTGAAAACTTCCATAACATCAACTTTTATAAGAACTAACCTTGTAAACTTTCAAAATCCAGTAACAAAAAATAAAGTTACCTCCCTTGTACTCACCCAGGTTGAGTTAACTGTTCAAAACACTAACACACTTTATAAACAAAACTAATTACCACCTGTGTCTCCAAAACTATATTCACAGCGATTACATTTGACCTGACCTGGAAATTTAACATAGAAGTCTTACACACTCGCACCTCCCCTCAAGGCACTCGGACACACTCGCACCTCCCCTCAAGGCACTCGGACACACTCACACCTCCCCTCAAGGCACTCGGACACACTCACACCTCCCCTCAAGGCACTCGGACACACTCACACCTCCCCCCTGGCACTCAGACACACTCACACCTCCCCGCACTCGGACACACTCACACTTCAAGGCACTCAGACACACCTTCACACCTTCCCCAAGGCACTCGGACACACTCACCTCCCCTCAAGGCACTCAGACACACTCACACCCCTCCCCAAGGCACTCAGACACACCTCACACCTCCCTCAAGGCACTAGACACACTCACACCTCCCCTCAAGGCACCTGGACACACTCACACCTCCCCCTCAATGCACTCAGAGACACTCACCCTCCCCCAAGGCACCTGGACACACCCCACACCTCCCCGCACTCGGACACACTCACACCCCCCCAATGCACTCAGACACACCTCACACCTCCCCTCAAGACTCTCTGGACACACTCACACCTCCCCCAAGGTGGACACACTCACACTTCCTCAAGGCACCGGACACACTCACACCTCCCTCAATGCACTCAGACACACTCCCACCTCCCTCAAGGCACCTCAGACACACTCACACCTCCCTCAAGGCACTCGGACACACTCACACCTCCCTCAAGGCACCAGACACACTCACACCTCCCCAAGGCACCTCCAAGACACACTACCACCTCCCCAAGGCACTCTGGACACACTACACCTCCCCCCAGGCACTCAGACACACTCACACCTCCCTCAAGGCACTCGGACACACCACACCTCCCCACTCACACCTCCCTCAAGGCACTCGGACACACTCACACCTCCCTCAAGGCACTCAGACACACTCACACCTCCCCTCAGCACTCAGAGACACTCACACCTCCCCTCAAGGCACTTGGACACACCTGCACCTCCCCCAAGACCTGGACACACACCTGCACCTCCCCTCAAGGCACTCCAGACACACTCACACCTCCCCTCAAGGCACTCTGGACACACCACACCTCCCCTCAAGGCACTCCAGACACACCACACCCCCCTCAAGGCACTCAGACACACCCACACCTCCCTCAAGGCACCTGGACACACCTCACACCTCCCCCGGCACTCAGACACACTCACACCTCCCCTCAGGCACCTGACACACCTCACACCTCCCCCAAGGCACTCGGACACACTCACACCTCCCCTCAAGGCACTCGGACACTTACACCTCCCTCAATGCACCCAGACACACTCACACCTCCCTCAAGGCACTCGGACACACCTCACACCTCCCCTGGCCACCGACACACTCACACCTCCCCTCAAGGCACTCGGACACACTCACACCTCCCTCAAGGCACTCCGGGACACACCACCTCCCCTCAATGCACTCCAGACACACTCACACCTCCCTCAAGGCACCTGACACACTCACACCTCCCCTCACACTCAGACACACCCACACCTCCTCAAGGCACTCAGACACACTCACACCTCCCCTCAAGGCACCTCAGACACACTCACACCTCCCCTCAATGCACTCAGAGATCGTAAAACCTTTTATACCTGTCTATTGCTCTACGCACCTGGTTTGTGTGGCCTCTTCTTCTTGTTCTGCTTAATATGTTCGTTTTGTCTCACTTTGTTTAACCTATATCTCTATCTCCTTCCTTCCTTCCTTCCACTTCCTTCCTTCCACTTCCTCATCTTCATCCCCCGGTTAGGTTAGTTACCTCCACCCCACTCTTCCTAGCCTCGCCTCCACCTCACCTCACCTCACCTCACCCCCACCTCACTTCCCTTCTATCTCACCTCGATCCCTCATCTCAACACACCTTCACCTAACCTCCACCTGACCTCCCTCTCCTTCAGGTACGAACATCTTCACGGAGTCGTTGATTCAGGAACACGGGAGGAAGATGTGGGAGGCGATGAGTGAGGAGGTGAAGGCAGACTACGGCAAGGATCACTTCCAGGCCAGAATAGACCTCATGAGACAGTACTCCAAGGCTGGGGTAAGTGACCGGAGGCAAGTGTCCAGATAGTTATCAGATGAGAGGGGTGACTGGGGTAAGTGACAAGAGGGAAAGGTCCAGATAGTGTCAGATGAGAGGGGTGACTGGGGTAAGTGACAAGAGGGAAGTGTCCGGAGGAATAGTAGGAGGGGGTGGGAGGAGTTACAGCCAGCCAGATCAAGCCACACACAGACCTCACACAGACCTCACACAGACCACACACAGACCATACACAAACAGTAACGAAAACCATACGAGTATTAGTCGTTTCCTAAAGCAACAGTATATGAATCAAAACTAAGAAAAAAAAGAAAGATAGAAGAAACACGAAGAAAAGAGAAGATAATGAAAAAGAAGGAAAAACGAAAAAATAAGAAACATCCTTAATAGTTGTTTCCTGGGGGTAGGGAGAGGCGGGGGACGGCAGGTAACCAAGAAAGTAATTACGCATTTCTGGAGAGCTTTAGAGGTCAAAGGTCATAACTCAGGGTCAGTAATACCTAAGAGGACTTGAAGTGTTAGGTCAGGTTAGGTTAGCCCAGGGTAGCAGAGGGGCAGCAAAGGATCTTAAGATGAGACGAGTTTTGGTACGTCTGGGACCCCATGGTATAAAATTACCCTTCTCTCTCTCTCTCTCTCTCTCTCTCTCGTCTTCAGTCTGGGTTATGTGTTCAGATGAGAGAGAGAGATAAAATGTGTGTGTGTGTGTGTGTGTGTGTGTAAAAATATAAAACACTCAACTATCTGCCCAATACCTTAACCATTGAAGGTCATCGACTCTCAAGCAACACCTCATGACTATGCATACTCCACAAAGGTAAACCCAGAATACATATGTAAAGTTTGAATGACAAGGTGCAATTCAACACAGGTGAGTAGGAACATCTGTACAAGGTTAACCGCTTAACAACATCACCTGGGTGTTTACCTGGTTGGTTCAGCAGGTGGCAGGAAGGGATTAAGGGGGTGGGTAAGAGGGGTGGGGGGTAAGGAGGTGTGGGGGAGGTTCTTAGGGAGAAGGGAAACCCAACCTGGCTCCTCCTAGCAACATCCTGGACGGTCCTCGGGGAAGTTCTGACCCTGAAGGACAAGTTCAGGTTGGATTAGGTACAAGAAGTCTCAGAATTAATTTGATTTTCCGTATAAAGTTGTTAAAGATGAAGACACTGGTTTCCTCCATTCTTATGTTCTTATGTTAATAATGTTAAATTTAGTGTACAACTGCGCCTAAGATATTTATAATGTTTCCAGTGGCCAAGTTCTACCCAAATAGTCGTTATGGTCCCTCACAGCGCCTCCACCTGACGTGCCTCTAATGGTCGTAAAGATATTCCGTTTTTTGCTCCCAGTCTGACGTCCTTCCCAGTCACATGACTCTGTATCTTGATGACTTATTGAGAAATGTATACGCAACACAACACACCTGGCGCTCCATAACAAGACTCGGTGATGGAGGCCAAGGTTGGTCACCCCGCCACATTCTCCAAGACACTTCCTGATTTTTTTTAGATCAATAAATTTACATCAGATAACTTCATCAGTTGTGTCTAACTAGTGTCGCAAAGGACCCGATGAGGCCGTCCCCTTGGCTCCAGTGTTGGTAAAGGAATAAACGACAACTTGGAGACGACTTGTGTTTTAGATCACACTGAACAACTCCCGCTCACACCCGACCCAAGTGGGCAGGCAATCACGTTACAGTGGTGAGAGACAAACGGATTACAGTTGTACCACCAACACTCCTATGTCCTTGATATTCGATTCTCCAAGGTCCGGCACCACCTTCGTCCTTTTGTGGCGTGGCAACTAGAATCCCACTGGACTCATTCCTGACCTCCACAACCCAAGACAACTTTTTACCAAGTAGACCGACCGTACGTAGGCAGGGAATATATTCCAGATTCAGTAGTGGCTCACCATCCGTCTCTCGCTCCCTGCCTTCGTGGGTGGGTGGTAGAACTTGCCTGCTGATGGTAATGAGGTAGTGTTTGTTGGTGATGTATTGTGTTGCATATTGCCATACATCTGTTAGTTGCCACATATCACTACAGGATGTTAACAAGCTTGGATAAGGCAACACAGAGTATAGTGTTTGACGACTCTACATTCTATAACTTCCTCCTCCACTCCACTATTCGCTTTACTACACTACTGAAGGTTGTAACATTGTCTTCTACCCAAAAGATATTGCTAGATAATCCTCTGGGAGTCTATAGTTTTTACTGAAAGTGAATATTGATTTTGCTCTCGATACACTGAATTTTTATAAAGCTGCTGTATACACTGTATTAGCTACTATGCACTTTATTTAAGACAGTCATATCCTTTCGTGTTACACTGTTATGTACTGTACACCGTCATAAGCCTTGACTGTACATGCCGGTATGCTTACACAGTACCCACCTGTACCCCGCCTCACCCCTCCCCGGAATTAGCTACATACCGCAACGCACTTTTTATGTAACTGCTGCATAGTCCGACACTCTGCTGTACCCTGCTGCACACACACACACACACACACACACACACACATTACTGTACCCTGCTGTCTGTAACGTTGTGATATTAAATTCAGTCACAATCATTCGCTTGTACCATGACGTAGGCTTTTGCTTTTGACTGTACCTACTGAGCTGAGTCTGGGATTCAGTCAACTTTTGCTAGTGTGCTGTGTGAGCTGTACGGCCTGTGTGTAAAACCAACATTCTGGGTATCAAGGATGACCTAACCTAACCTAACCTAACCTGACCTGACATAACAATAACCTTAGCTAACCTAAATTGAACAGATCTATCCAATCTAACCAAATCTAATCTAACCTAACCATACGTAGCCTAATTTAACTAAACCTAATATAAATAAACCTAATTTAACCTTATAAAACCATAACATAACCTTAACCTGTCCAAACTAAATCTAACCTAAATATACCTAAAAGTCTTAAGGATTAGGTTAGGTTAGGTTAGGAAGAGGAACAGAAAGGAGGAAGAGGAGAAGGTAGTACAACAAGTCGTATCGTAAATAAACAAGATGTATCGTAAATAAACAAGATGTATCGTAAACAAACAAGATGTATCGTAAACAAACAAGATGTATCGTAAACAAACAAGATGTATCGTAAACAAACAAGATGTATCGTAAACAAACAAGATGTATCGTAAACAAACAAGATGTATCGTAAACAAACAAGATGTATCGTAAACAAACAAGATGTATCGTAAATAAACAAGATGTATCGTAAACAAACAAGATGTATCGTAAATAAACAAGATGTATCGTAAACAAACAAGATGTATCGTAAACAAACAAGATGTATCGTAAACAAACAAGATGTATCGTAAACAAACAAGATGTATCGTAAACAAACAAGATGTATCGTAAACAAACAAGATGTATCGTAAACAAACAAGATGTATCGTAAACAAACAAGATGTATCGTAAATAAACAAGATGTATCGTAAACAAACAAGATGTATCGTAAATAAACAAGATGTATCGTAAACAAACAAGATGTATCGTAAATAAACAAGATGTATCGTAAATAAACAAGATGTATCGTAAACAAACAAGATGTATCGTAAATAAACAAAGTGTCTCCAGCTAAGCCATAACTTAGAGTACGTAACCATGACAAAGGAGGAGAAAATTAATTAAATGTTGTGATGACATTATTTATTATGTTGTGGCGTATATGTTTGTTTTACCTTGCTGTTGAGAGAGAGAGAGAGAGAGAGAGAGAGAGAGAGAGAGAGATTGTAAAATACACATAAGAAAAGAGAAAAAAAACAGGAGAAACAGAGAAAAGGAAAACAGTACAGAATACATATGTAAAAGCAAAACCAAAAAATCAATGAAAAAATTATAAAAAAGATCAACATTAAAATTATCAAACGTCTTCCTAGTGATACTATGTAAACTGTAAGTAATTATAATAAGATAAGGTCGTGTTTCCAGGGGTCGTGTCTTAAGAGGTCGTGTATATCCTGGTGTAGGTATGGGGAAACAAGATGGAATTTACGGTAAAGTGAAATATTTTTATCCTCTGGTCATAAGAGCTCCTGTCAGTGAGGAAAATTTATAACTATTTTTTTTTAAACTACTTCTTGTACCGTCATGCTGGGATGGTTTGGTTACTATGACTACCCAGACAAACACCTTATCATTATCATCTATTAAACCGGATATAAGTTAATGTTAGGTATCATTAGGGCTCATCTTAGAACCGTTTCCATGACACACACGCCCACACACACGTCCACACGCGCGCACAACACCTCAACTGAAGGCATCCAATTTTGAAGTTGCGTCACGTCCCGAACAAATTATAAGCATCAGTTGCATTTTTCTCGCCCTACATTAGAGAAGAGAGGAGTGGGATGCTGGTAAGGGTGTAAACCTTGGCTAAGAGTGTGTTGGTGTGTGTCGTAGGAGGGAGAGTGCGGGAGAAAGCAGAGGTTGTGTCGAGTCATGGTTGACCTAGGTAAGAGAGCAGTGGCCAGTCGGACCCACCTGTTTGGCCTCTCTTGGTGCCCACAGTCGCTGGTCCCGATGAGTTGCTTTGGTTTCAGGTCATTTAGGTTTCCACTGCTAACACGCACTAACTTAGCTTAACCTAGACTTATGTAACAGGCAGGAACTTAACCTAACAGACCCCAACTTAACCTAACCTAGACTTACGTAACAGGCAGGAACTTAGCCTAACTTAACCTAACAGACCCCAACTTAACCTAACCTTACAGTGAGTTACCAGAATTTCCCAGAGGTCGAAGATGAAGATGAAACCAGATATTTTATCAAGAAGTTACAGCGTATTTTTTTTTTTTTTAGATTTTCTTCAAATTACTTGGGTGAAAGGGTCCATTACCTGTGTATTAAGTGATCTGACCTGAGCAACTATATCTTGCGCTAGTCAGGCCGCACCTCGATTATGCTGTTCAGTTCTGGTGCCCTTATTATGGAATGGATATCAATTCACTGGAGTCGGTGCAGCGAAGATTGACGAAAATGATTCCGGGACATAGAAACCTTCCATATCAAGATAAATTAAAGAAACTTAACTTGCATTCCCTAGAAAGAAGAAGAGTGCGGGGAGATATGATAGAAGTATTTAAGTGGGTGAAAGGAATCAATAAAGGAGATATAGATAAAGTTCTTATAATATCCGAGCAGGATAGGACTCGTAGCAAAGGATTTAAGTTGGATAAGTTTAGGTTTATGAGTGAGATAGGAAGAAACTGGTTCACAAATAGGGTGGAAGACGAGTGGAACAAGCTTAGCAATTTGCAGTAAGTGCGGGAACTCTGGAAAGTTTCAAAAGGAGGCTAGATAGATTCATGGATGATAGAGAGTGGTAGTAACTCTAGACAGGAGCTGCCGTGCACAGGCCAACCGGCCTATTGCAGACTCCTTATTTTCTTATGTTCTTATATACAGGTATGCAGTACAGGTAATGTGTAATAAGGTCGACGGGGCTAGCTAAACGCCTTGACAGGTATGTGGGACATTATTTGGTCTGAAAACTATTATTATTATTATTTACAGCTTGCTAAATAACTGACCAAATTTGTTGATACACATAGGAGGAGGTAGGGAACACACGAACTAACCTAACCTCACCTTTCTTCTTACCTGCCGCTTGAGACTTGAGCCTAGTAACACTTGAACCAGGTAGCGCTAGGGGCCCCGTCTGACCAGTTGGAGTTGAATACATATTAAAGTTTCTGGCCATGAGTTTGCAGCTTCTAAAGTGGTTTATTGATAGCAGGAGCGAGGTCATGTTTACAGGTGGGCTTTACGTGTCTGAGAGAGAGAGAGAGAGAGAGAGAGAGAGAGAGAGAGAGAGTGAGTTTACCGCTTGACTTCCCTGGTGTTAACGAAGTCCCCATTAACCTACCAGTAAAGTATATATTTTCTCACACATCAGGTTAGGTTAGGATGGTATATCTTAAGGTGAAATAAACTAGGGGCTAATCTTCAGGTAGTTCCCTCCCTAAAAATTAAATTCTAACGTTAAACATATTAATGCTCGACCTTCCACACCCATTACGTGCCTCGTGTACCTGATGACACCTCTTACCTGTCTGACACCGTGACTAATGACACCTTTTACCTGGCTGACACCGTGACTAATGACACCTTTTACCTGGCTGACACCTCCCACACTGTTCTATCACTAACATCAAATATCTCATCAAGTAATGTTACACTTAACTCTGAGATCACATTCCAGACCCAACACATATAATTACTACAGGGTCATGAAAAAAAAATACTAGAATATATATGGCATTCTTTTTTATATACCCTGTATGTTTAAGGTATTACTCATTAAGATATTATAAAACTGTTTAAAATTATCACTTATTTTCTTCCACCTGAAACGTATCTCATAATCTGGGTTTTTTTCCCTTTGGATAATTCTCAAGGGGGAGGTTTTACACTGTTGTTCTACCGAGCGAATCACACACTGAAGGTTTTTATGGGAGGGAAGATGATGCTTTAACTCGTCTGTCTGTCTGTTTGTCTGTCTGTGTCTGTGTGTGCGTGTCTGTCTGTCTGTCATCAGGTATGCACTCTCTCCCCTTCTTCTCTTTCTCTTTTCATTTTTTTTGCCCTTCTCATTCTCATTTCTCTTCATTTCGTTTCTCTTCTCTCTTCATACTTTTTCTCTCTATCTTCTTCTCTCTCTCTCCTCAATCTCTTCTCTATCTTCATTCTTTTCTCTCTCTCCTTTCTCCCTCTCTGTCATCATCAATCATATCTTTGTTGTCTTATTCTTCTTACAGCTACAGTTCATTTTCCCACACGGCTCTCTCTCTCTCTCCCCGACAGAACACAGACATCTCGCCAGTGATCAACGCCTTCACTGAGGGACTGACACAGAAATATCCTCAGGCGCGGTATTGCCCAATGGATCTCTACTTCAAGACTCGCCTTTTCGTCGCCACCCACCTACCGGAGTTTGTCTACGAGAAGCTCTACATCGGTTAACTCAAGATATACTCACCTGTGTCATCACCCCTCTTGAGAAAAAAAAAATTGTGGAACCCATTGTTTAGTTTTGTTTAGAGAGAGAGTTTTTGTAGATCATTGAATTACTGTAGTGAGATCTTAGCTACTGTATGCAGATTGTACTATGGTGGGCATACTTAAAGATACTGTAGAACTAAAGGGAATAGTTTCTTGCTCAAATGTCGTCTGAGGCCCGCCCACACACACACATTCTATGAGTCACTGGCGTAATTAGACTTCACCTGAAGCTCTTCCTCCTCGTGGGGGTACACACGTGACCTGAATACATCAACCAGGTGAACCAATTATTGTCACCATCGCTGCTTGAACATACTACCTGTCAATCATCAAACAGTTCATATAGAAATATTAAAAATCACCTGTTAAAATTTCTTTCTTTGTGTAGATTTCTTTCTAAAGTAGATAATACAGTGAACATCGTGGTAACACTCTCAGATGTATTTACTAACACCATATTACTATTCCATATGATACTAAATGTTATATAATACTTCCTTGAGATATAAATGAACTGTAATGAGATGCCACTAAGACAGCCTAGGCTCTCAATTAGCTCAGTCATGTTAATAGTGTCATTATTATCGACTCTATATCTGTGTTTTTCTGACTAAATAAACTGTTTCAAAATCAACACCACAACCTCACATGTTTTAGCTTCGTCTCCTAATGCCATGGGATCTCAGAAGCTACATGTAACCTACCCTTCCTGACCTGCCTCTATAACCTGTTTCGATGGCCTACCCTTGTCTAGTCCAGGTTATATGAAAACAGGAAAACAACGAAGAGGAAATTCCAGTGTCGTGATGTGAAAAGAATTTAAGATGAGAAACGTGAAGGTTTTGTGTGCCACTTCCCCCAGACTTGTAACCACACGTACTAGAGCTATGATTAATACCTCTAAGGCTCCTGTACACCTGGGGTTGAATATGTTTAGTTTCATCAGAGAATTAAAGTAACGTAACCTAACCTAAACTAACCATAACACTGAGAAATATTTTAAGATGTTTGGAAATAAAAGAATAGTGAATTTATTTGTGTTTATTTTTTTTTGGTTACGTGTCCCGAGAAGTTTGTGTATTTTGTTTATTGTGTGAAAGAGTAAAAAGAAATATGTGAGGGTTTATTTTTTGAAGGGTTAGACTGTGTGTGTGTGTGTGTGTGTGTGTGTGTGTGTGTGTGTTATTTCCTCAGTCCTACTACTTATTATTCAAATCACCTGAAACAATACATTAAATACTAAACTTTCGATACATAAGGAGACAATTATATAGTGTCCAATTTACAGCTGGGCGGACTAGGGGCGCCTAATCACGAACCAGCAATCCAGCAACCTATAGTGGATATGAGACGAGCATCATAACCACCTCACCACAGTACTATATAACCACAAGGTATAGGATTCTAGAACACTATGATTTAAGACAATATTACAAAAGGTTTTTAATATTAGTTAACTGTATATTCTGACAAAAAGAAAAATCCTTTTATAAATCATTAAAGAGAAAATACTGTTTAGTGGTCAGTCAGCGTGCAGTCAATAAATTATTCACAAGACACATGGAGCAGTTAACCCGCACCCCCCCCACACACACACACGACCCACGATACAGGTGGAGGAGAGTGTCTGTTTCCCCCACACTAGGACCCACGATATCAACAACTACCATAAAGAGCAATAATGAGATACAAACAACCATCTGTTTATAGCAGCTGAACCAAACAACGACACCAGTATACTGAAGACTTTCTTAAATGCCTCTTATTAATAAAACACACAGGAGTTTCAAGTCAAGAAAATGCCATGCCCTCCTTTCATGTCTTTGTTATTAATTACGGTAATTAAGGACTTAATGATCGTCTACAACAGGTAAATTACAGAAATAATCAGTTTATTATCTATCATGATGAGATGTATTAGTGAAACGTGTCTCTGTGTGTGTGTGTGTGTGTTTCAGGTTGTGTGCATGTATGTATGTGGTGTACTTCTAATTGCTAATTTCATCCCTTCAGTATCACCTACAACATAATAATGATATAATGGTTGCCCCTCGTGTAACGAGGATGGCCGGCCCTAGGGCCACCTAGACGTGAATTTGTTTAAGGTGTAGAAGCTGTCGCTAACACAACAACCACACCCTGAGTTAACGAGCTGCATGACCCAGTGTCAAGGAATAGTCCGAGAAGACCGGACAACTTGCCAACTGCACTGGCTAACCATTACCCCGGAAAACGATCCACAAATCGATTGATACCCAGGTCCCCAATTACTGCTGGGTAGACGGAGGCAAATGGCGTAAAGAAACTGCCCGGGGATGGAACCCGGGTCCGCTCGTTTGCGAGGCGAGTGTGCTGACCATTACACAACAGGTCGCCAAATCACTCTCTCTCTCTCTCTCTCTCTCTCTCTCTCTCTCTCTCTCCTCCACATCAAGCACCCAGATCAGGTCCACTGTCACCTCAAGCCAGCAGAAATACGCAAAGATGAAAGATGCAGTAACAGAGAAATTAAAGAAATATTATACATACCACAGAAATAAACAAATTGTGAGGAGATAAACAAACTCTACCTGTGTCAATATGTAAATTAAACAGGTAATTATCTCATTAACTTCTACAGGTGTAATGAACGCTGTATTTTCAAACCTTAGGAAGTCAAATTACTATACAACATGGATATTAAGTACCTATTACAAACATTATTCTAAAAAAAAGGTAATTGAACCCAAAATTACATAATGAACACCGAACGAACGATAAATCATGGATAAATTATTACATTCTGGTCGTAGAGAAAATATATTGTGTGAAGGTAAGCAGACCAGACCAGACCAGACCAGACTGAGGGGGAGGTGGGGTGTGGCTGAGTGGTGGTGGCAGGTAAAGGCGTAGGCAGGAATATCCCACACACACACACACACCTTGACTGTAACTGGCTGTAACTGGATAACACACACACACACACACACACACACACACACACACACCTTGACTGTAACTGGATGAGAAATAAGAAGTAGCTGGATTATCGCTTCAAAAAGTTCTATTTAAGCTTTTATTCCTTTGTGTTGTTTAACTTATATAATGTCACTGTGATGGAGATGACCGTTCATGGTGTTTCATCATCCTGCAGTACAGTGTGTGTGTGTGTGTGTGTGTGTGTGTGTGTGTTGCAGTTTCCGGTTACCTGCGGAATCACTAATTACAGTTGAACTGGAAACAACATTCATAAATGTTTGCGTGTTAAGTTTTCAACCCAAATGGTCTTTTCTGCATTTATTAAGAAAATAAACTATTACACAATTACTGGGATATGACCGTAATTAACGCTAAGAGTGTTAATAATGGACGAAGCGTATATGTAATTAGCCTCGTGGTCACTCATCTAGGGGGAGTGAGAGACAGGGGCAGACTGACTGACGGTCGGCTACAGTCAAGAGACGAGAGTACAGTGGAAATATACTGTCACATGTCCACTAGATGACTGCTAGCGGCTTATAGGAAAGTTACCGTGGGTGATGTTATTATATAAACCTAATGTATATAACCCACATTTATATAAGTATTACTGTTTGTTTGGGAGGGAGGGGTAGAGTGGTGGGAGGGGTGTAGAGTGGGGGAGGGGTGGGAGGGTGGGAGGGGGTAGAGTGGTGGGAGGGGTGTAGAGTGGTGGGAGGGGGGTGGTATAGTGGTGGGAGGGGGGTAGAGTGGTGGGAGGTGTAGAGTGGTGGGAGGGGGTATAGTGGTGGGAGGGAGGTGTAGTAGTGGAGGTGATACAGTGAGGGAGAGGGTACAATGGTGGGTGGGGTGCGGGACACTGGAGGGGCAAGGGTTCAGGAGATCGTAGGGAATGAGGCGGGGCACAGGGGGGAGAGAAGGGGTGTAGATAGGAATAGTGAAGAGACGGAGAGAAGGCAAAAGAGAGACGAGGATTAAGAAAGAACTTATCTCACATCCAGACATCACCATCATCACTCGGTCTTGTTAAGGAGACAGAGCCTCCCAGGTGTTCTTCTCTGTCTCAAGAGTGAGCACGATCGACGAAATCCCTGACGAACTCAATATTGTACGCAGCGGGGATCACCTGTTCCTCCAATGATCTCTGGAGGCGGTGGTGGCGGGGCGGGGGTGGAGGGGGAGGGGTCAAGTGATAAAGAGAATGAGGGTGGAAGAGGAGGAGAAAGAAGAGAAGGAGAAAGAAGAGGAGGAGGAGGAAGACGAAGACGAGGAAGACAAAGACGAGGAGGACGAGGAGCGGAGGAGGAGGAGAAAGCAAGGAGAGAGATGTTAGAATTAAAAAGTAAAAAAAGAAGTTGGAAACGTCAGAGCAAGAACCAGCGGGGAATCATTGTCGTGTTTGTAATGTTTCACCCAGAGCGCTCCAACACACACACAGAGGAAGGTTCTGGTGGACCTTCTGCTCTTAACCAACCTTGAGGCTTTTATTGTTTTTGTTTACTACTTTTGTTTGGGCATCCGGCGTTACTCTGCTTTTCTGAATACAAATAGCAGTGTAATCCCTCTTCTCACGCGCCATTTGAGGGGATTTATAGCGATATTCTAAAGGTGTTTACCGGAGTATGATAACGGAGCTGATATTGTCTTTTGGAAACACACACACACACACACACACACACACACACACAAACACACACACACACACACACACACACACACACACACACACACACACACACACGAAGAAGTGATGCGGACGTCTGAAAAAATTAGCAGCACTGTCATTATGGTCTTTCTGGGTATCTGTCTGTGTGTCATTATCAGGGCCAGGTAGGCTGGTGCTTGGAATGTGTTGTGTTAGGTTAGGTTAGGTTAGTACTGTACACTTTATATTAGTTTACATTAGATGAAACCAACATAAACCACTAAATGTTAAATTAAGTAAAATTTACAACCTCGTGTCATTACACTGGTACGTAATTTGTGCTGTTGTTAGGAGCCAAAACAAGTTAAAATAGGCTGTTTCTCATAAGGCGACAGTAGAGCAGGTGAACCAGTTCTCAAGTAGGGCGTGGTGACGTAAGAGGTTCCTGCTTTGGTATTTGGGTGAGGGAAGACTCGCGCTCCCCAGGCACTTAAAAAATGAGGCGTCGGTCAGGTATAAGAGGTAACGCCAGGTACAGGGCGATGGGTCTTCCTCCCGCCGCGTCCTGAGCTACACTG